AGAACTGAAGAAGTAAATGGGATGAAAAGTGTGAAAGGAAAAGAATGAAAGGGACATGACGCATGCTGTCTCAAAAAAGATCTCTGACCGGTAATGACGGGCTGCTAGATGAGAGGCAGGGACCACCACAACCTCAACCTTCTTAAGGTCTTAGAAGTTATAACCACACTCCAAACAGGCAGGCACAGCATCCAAGCCCCTGGCGTGCTTTGCCAGGGAGGCCTAGAAACCACACTGCTGTTTGTACTGTCATAACTGGGGCACATCTTGCCACTGGGAACACAAGGCTTTCATTTTGGATGGTATTTTTGGTCAAGGTCTGTGAGCCAGGAAATGGGGGCGATGGTCTACAAAGGGCTATAAAACTGGACAGTTATGAGCCTCTATAATTGTCCAATTAGTAAAGCAAGGCTCCAGGTCTGAGCTCTGTACCAGATGGACACATCCTGGTCTGCAAGCTTCCCTGTGGTGTGAAGGCCTCAGTCTGTAGAAAAAGAAACTGCTGGGGAGACACTGACTTGACACTTAACTCGATTCTTATCTTAAGTTTCAAAGGCAGATGTTTCAAAAGTTTAAGTTTCAAAAGTTTCTTAAGTTTCAAAAGCAGATGTTCAGTTGAACTAAGGTTTTCAGGAAAAACAGATTACATACAATGCCACTTTTCCTCCTTCAAGGAGTCTCTCTCTTTAGCCAACATAAGGGTTAAAAAAGGTTGCCGGTGTGCTCAGCCAACAGAGGGCAGGGTCCATGACTTATGCCAGCAGACAGATGATATAGGGTCCAAAGTACATGCACATACTTGGGACAATCAGAGGAGAAGGAGAAAAGGAGGAGGAGGAGGAGAAGAAGGAGGCTGGGAGCAGCCATGTGCCTAGGTGCTCAGAGTTAAGACTGTGGCTGCCCTTGAGGGAGCTGTTGTCCTCTCTAGGGACTTTTCATCTAACAAATGTCCTCATAAAACGTATTTTACATCAGAGAGTTCTCTTTTTACTTAACCCGCATTTTATGTCTTTAGGTACCTCTCACAGGCTCACCATGCATTTACTTAAACAAACAAACCATTAGCGGAGAAACTATGTCAAAATAGGTACAGTTAGCAGATTATTAATTGATCTTATTACTTAAGAATTTAGCCTTGACATAGGTATAGTGTATGTAACTTGAAAATATCCTAGCCCTGGAGAGCCCCCCAGCCCATGACTCGTTCTTGACATAGGGAGTCTCTAGATCTTCCGGGACACTGCAGGAACTTGGATTCATCCATTCTGGGTGGAGAGGGAAGGCTATGATGTCCAGTTATTAATGGGGACACAGGTATATTTGTTCTGGGGAAGCCCACCGCACTGTTCTCTCACTGCCCATGTGCTCACAGGAGCTCACAGGACAGGCCATGTGCTAAATACAACATCAGGAGGACAACGGGTCTCCCTGCAGGAGGACTGCAGATCCTTACGTGAGCAGTCAGAGTAAATATTCCTTAACCATTGAGGGCCTGCACGATACACCCGCCTCAGCCCCTCATGTTCTACCACTCTGCTACCTGTTAACGGGACTCCGGCCACAGTGGGCATCTTGAGTAGGCTGGTGTTGCTCCCGCCTCAGGGCCTTGGCACTTACTGCCTGCCTAGAACAGCATCGCTTCTGCCTTTCTCTAATCTTATTCCCTGTTCGCTTTTGTAAACAGAACTGCGTGCATGTGTGGTTCTGCAGCATCCTCAGACCCCTATTCATCTTCTTAGGAGCACACGTCCGCATGTGAAGTTAAGCCGGTCTTGACTCCATCTCCATCAGAGGGTAAGCAGGGCAAGGGCAGGGCCGTTGTCTGACCTTTGTTTCACAGTGTCCCTAGACCAGATGAATGCAGGCACCCAGCAAAGGTTTTTGGTTCTTAAGTGCAACAAGGGATGCAGGGTGTTACCAGGGCTTATTCTGAGGTGAGTAGGGGCAGCTTCAGGGAAAGGGTGAAATCTACAGGAGCTACAGAGACAAGCAGAGTGGCTGCGGAACAAGTCAGAGTGCTGGGCCAGTGCTCTGGAAGACTGTGAAACCTTGGCAAAGGCTAAGGAGGTGAGAAAGAGTCCCCATGTCTTCCCTTCCGCATAGAATCTGCTCAACTCTAAGAAAGTGCTTGAGTCTGGCAGGGGCTGGCTGCAGAATCAGTGCCTCACAGGAAAAACATGGCAAGCGGAGGGCAATGCATTGCTGCATTGCGCCATCTTGTGGCCAGAGCCTTGAGGTGCGGCACAGGAGCCCATGGCCTGAAGTCAGTTTCAAGTCCTCAGGTCTCCCACGCAGACCTTGAGTCCTCCCTCTCTTTACCTAGCGGACAGATAATACTGCAGCAAGTTGATTCTTTGGTAAAGTCACTTCCTGGCATATTCCAGTTTAAAGTTTGGACACCCATCATAATTGCACATATGGAGTGTTCTACCATCTGGGGTCAAGACGTAATCCATTTATTTAATCCTCACATGCCAGTGCTCACACATCACATAGAGGAAAGGTGACACATGGCCAGGTGACAAGACTAGGAAGTGATGACTGGAATTCAAGCCAGGCAATTGGCTTTGTATCCACCCTTTCTACCATGCCAAGCAGAGAGTGACAGAACCAGGGCTAGGTAGCTATAGGGAAGGATGGAGCAGCAGTTGAGGCAAGAGCGACTAAGTCTCCTAACAATTCCCAGGGGACCTGGGGCCAAAGCAGCAGCTAAGAAAGTCAGAATAACTCAAAGCTGACGATGGTGCAAGACACAGCCTGGAACCTCCAAAGCACCTTGGGGCAGGGTGCCAGAAATGTCACTGTGCCAGGCTTACTCTGCCAGCCCTGTGCAGGGAAGTCTGCATTGGGCCCGAGTGGGGTTGTGTCTGCCTTGTTTTCCATTTATGGTTCTAAGCCTCAGTCTGGCCGGGAAAGGCCAGTATATCCCCTCGCCTGGAGGGCACTCGCTCACCAGGCTGCTGACAGCAGACCCAGAGGACCTGGTGGAGCTGCGCTGCAGCTTTTCTCCTTCTGCTTTCAAACACACTTAGATGGGCGATTCCGAAGCCCTCCCCAGCCTCCCCGACACCCAGGAGTCAGGAAAATGCCCCAGGGTTCTCCAGCTTTCATCTGAAGACACCCCCACCCACCCACCCACAGAGACTGTCTCTAACACAACTTTAACACAAACAACTGGAGGCAGACACTGGATCAACTGACTGCCAAAGGAGGCTGACAAAGCAATCGCAGATACAAGACTGGGTTGAGTGGCACAGCCTATGCCATTTGTACTTTTCTGTCCACCACAGACCGGCTCGCCTCTGAGAAGAGGGGGGAGCTGCTGCCCTGGGCCTCCAAGACCAGGCTTCTTGTGAACTTCTGTGCTTCCCTGGAAGTCTCATACTATGGTCCCCTGAGGCCCCCAGCAGCCATGCCCATGAGAACTATGGAGATAAGTTGGTTACATGTGTGTACCAGAAAAGATCTCCCGGGTCACCGCTAGCTCTGACCCCAGTGTTGGAAGGCTTCATGGAAGGAAGGGGCAGGCTGGTTCACACATGACTCCACACAGGGGCATTTCTTCTGGGAAGTCCAAGTCCCTCCGGGCAGATGGCTGCACAGGACAGACATAAACCACTTTCTCTGTTAGTGACAGCTCCCTATCCCTCAGGAAGAACAGTGCCCATCCTCTTTAGGGCAGGGAGGAGTACTCTGAGAAAGGGCAGTTATGGGGTCATCTAGGCCTCAGTCCTATGGCCTGGGCCCAGAAGCCAGCTTTACCTACTACCCAGGCACAGTGTGCTGTCCAAGCTCCACTGATGTCAAGGCCATTAGACCCTTCTGTATAAAACAGGAACAACACTCTGCCCTGAGCCCCAGAGGTCTCTGTGAGGTGGTGTAGCTGGAGAGACAGAATAGGCAGAATTCATTTCGTCCCTTTCCTGTGATACCATCTCATGCAGCCTCCCAGAATGTGGCAGTTGACACTATAGGAGGATTCTCCTGAGAGGCCTGACTTTGGTGGGGAGAGGGCAACAAGACAAAGCGACATCTTTCTGTTAGGCGGACAAAGAAGGTGGGTACACTCTGCCCAGTCCGAGCATCCAGAAGATAGAGTCACTCTCAGAACCTGGGGGCACAGGCTAAGAAAAGGTGGCAGCTGGGCTGGCCTGTGGGTGGAGCACCTTCCCTTCTTAGAAACAGCCACCATACAGATCCACAGCCCAGCAGGGTCAGTTTAAGATTCATGGTGGTTCCTAGGCACTAAGTGCTGGGCTGATCAATGGATGACTTGATACCAGGCTGGTGATGGATGAAAACAAGCCGGGGCCCTGGGGAAGGGTATCTGTGCAGGCAAAGGAAAAGCCTGCCACTCTTCAGAAGTCTCAGTGCCTGCTTCTGCCTAGCTCCTGAGGGCATAGAATCATAGTGTGAGAATAACACATGTGTGTGTGAATAACACATGAATTACCTCTTGAAGTCTTGCAGTGCATGTGGTTTTCTCATTCCAGACAGGGAGCTTCTGGAGTCAGGAGAGCCCCTGTCTCTTTCCCTCACATGTGCCTACGGCCCAGTGGGGTCAAGGGATGGGATACAGACTCCTGTTCCTGGGGATCACCAGAGCCTTTATCTTCCATCTGCCTGCCTTCAGGGACAGGGTCTTCCCTTCTCTCCTCTCCCCTCTTCCCTTTCTTTCTTCCTTCCTTTCCTTTGGGACAGAAACTCAGGTTGGCCTAGAACTCAGGATCGTCTTGCTTCACACTCCCCAGTGCTGGGATGTCTGGTGTGCCTCTGCATGCCTGTGCTCAGGACTTTCTTTGTAACCTCTCCTTTGTCCCTAGATATTCCAGCAGCCCCCTCTGCTTCTGTAGCTGCCTACTGGCAATCACAACTCCACTTACACTTCGGCTCCTTGGATTTGGGCCAGCAATCCTATGGTCTATAGAAGCATTCTTCCTTCAAAGCAGGCAGACAGCTGTAGGGGAAATGCTTCTCGCAAAGTGCTTGAAGCATCCTACCTTGGACGGTGATCCTGGCGCTGCAGGACACCTGCCCCAAGGCATTCTCAGCCAGGCAGGTATAGGTGCCACAGTCCTCTGGCAGGGCATCCTGGATGTGGAGCTCGGCCACACCAGCCTCACAGATGGAGTGAGCAAACTGGATGGGCTGCCCTGCAGAGAGATGCATAGAAGGGCTCAGGCCAGGGAGAATGTGGTGGTGGGATACCAGCCCTGACCCAAGCAGGGCAACTGTCAGGACACTGGAGTTGGCCCCGATCCATAGAGGACACGACTGGGCCTGGAAAGACAGGGTAGAATCACTCTGGAAGAATTTGGCATGCAGGAGGGCAAGGACAGACAGCTGGCATTTTTGGCTAACCTCCATTCCACACACCTGGAAAGAATTCTGCGGGTCTTTTGGTCCTCAGCCCAGGCTCAGGCAGAGGAGACCTCACTCAGACTGACATGTGGCTCTCAGCAACTTTGGGATGACTCCAGAAATAATGATTCCATTTCCCATTATAGATATTGATCAGAAATGCAGCAGCCCCACCCTAATGCCACAATTATGTCTATTTCCTCTGTGCAGGGAACTACGCTTTAGCACTCGAGAAGATAGACCTGGAGGACGAGAAATGAATGGTCCTCCTATAAGAAGGCCTCTTCACATGCATTCCTATACGGCAACAGGTTGTAAGCAGTTAGCACCGGAGTCATCGCCCTTACTACTACACGCTCTAAAACTTTATCATTCCATAATGGAACCTTTATTTATAGGGAAATAGTCTTGTCTCATTACTGAAGAGTCTGGTCTTCTAGCAGGAATGTGCTCATTGGCCTTATAGGAAGCAACTGTCAGCTCCTTTTTCTGCCAGGCCCCCCAGTCCTAGTTTGCACCTCATAAAATTAAGGGTGGGAGGCAGGAGAGGCCGGCAGTTTACTGAGAAGCAGCCCTCCCTGCAAAGCAATGTTTTCTTCTGCATATAACAACACTTCATGTCTCCAGGACAGTTTTGTAAAGAGACTGCCAAGCGAGGGGAAAGAAAAGAACCTTCCCAATCTATTGCACTCTATAAAAGTATGACTGGGAGGGGTAGAGGGGAGGAAGGCATGGGCCAGAATTCTTCCACTGAAAGGACTGAATATCGTTTGCTTTTATTTCTGTAACAATGACACCCCTAAAACCTGAGATCCCGAGCAAGCTATCTGACTGTCGTCAGCCTGTCTCTTCGGTCCCAGCATTTGTGACAAGCATTACGAGAGGTTGTCCTTTACTGAAGCACTACTCCTGACTCCCTTTAGCTCCACAAGCAGAGATGGAGCCCCTAAAGAAGTTGCTGGCTCAGAGTACATCATGATTGAGTTAAGAAACTCCCAGGGTAGAGGCTTGGTTGGACTAGTTAGCAGCCAAGGAAAGTGACTTTAAGCACTATTGCCCTCTAGTGGGAAAAGTGTGGAAAGTCAAGATCTACTCCATGCTCAGTTCCCACTACTAGAAGCAAACACAGCCCATGGTCCAAACCCCACCTGCAACATATTATATACATTATAATTATTATACATTTAATAATCGATTATTTAGAATACAGCACATAATTGCTACACAAACTAGCTCTCTAGAGGAGATGCTCACTGACCCTTGTTTAGCTTTGCCCAGTCAAAGTGAAACTCTCACTCAGACCCATGATTGGTCCTTATGCTCCTGTCCTCCTCTAGACACAAGTAGGCTGGGTCCTTGCTGCCAGTCCCAGGATCAGTCCATGGGTAAAGGATAGGAAAAAGGACAGACCTCAGCTCTCAACTATGTACCTAAGCTAACTGCATGGAGGGAGAATACACAATACCTCCTCCCACTCAAAGACCATTTCCTGGCAAAGCCTGAGAGAACTACAATGACATGGAGGCTTACTGGCAATGGGTCAGGACGCACAGCGATTTGGTGTGTGTCAGGCGATGGATGCTGCCTCTTAAGAAGCCTGAGCTGTAAGATGTGAGACCTGGGTAAGACTGCACGCCCTCTGCCTCCACCCCAGAAGGTCAGGTTACCTGAGGGCTCTCTGCTGTACAGTCCCCCCTTAGCAGGGCCCTGGGGTTTCTCCCAAACAGCCTCTGTCCAGTTATGCCCATTGAACAGACTGCTCTCAGTTACAAAGTCAGTCTCCCGCACTCTTAGAAGAGAAGGATGAAGATATTTGGTAATTATTTTTTTGTTCAGTGTTATACATGCCAGGTATGGTGGCACATAGCTTTAATCCCAGGACTTGGAAGCAGAGGCAGGCAGATTTCTGTGAGTTCATGGCCAGCCTGTTTTACACAGTACATTTCAGGACAGCCAGGGCTACATAGACCCTGTCTCAAAAAACAAAACAAAACAGAAGTCAAAGAGCTTTACTTGATTACAGAATTATAATAAAGAAGTACTAGTTTTATTCTCAATCCAGATGCCACTCAATAAAAGGTCAAATTCCTTGACCAAGGTCTGATGTGAGTCATGGGTTATTCATTTGCATGTTCGTTGACTGAACAAATGCTGATTGGTGATCTCTTAGGAGTCTAATCAGGAGAAACAAAACTGAATTGTACGTGTTATCTCCGGGCAGGCATCTCATTGCCCACTTTATATATGTGAGTCTGTAACAGCCACCCTGCCAGGCTGGCAGCAGGATGTCCAAAGAACAGAAGAGCTAGGTCAGCTAGTGAGCAAGCAGGCCCAGTTCCCACACCATCTCTCTTTTTGTGCTTCTGTGGCACACGTGGTTCAGAGTGAGAAGAGATACCTCAGGCAGCCCAGAGGGATGGAGCGGGGGGGGGGGAACTCACCATTGAGCAACCAAGTGACCCGGGGTACAGGGGTCCCCTGTACAGAGCATCGCAGCACAAAATCCTGGCCCTCAGTGACAACACTGTCCTTCAGGACACTAGAGAATGAAGGCGCCATCTGTGCCAGGTTTGGACCTGTGGAGGCAAACAACAGACAGGTGCTGTCAGGGCACAGCTCACCCACCTGGTGGCAGACCACTTATCCCAAGCCTTATAAGGCATACACCCCACTGTCCTGGGCACTGGACTTCCTCCATAGCTAGCTGTGCTTTGCCCACTTTCATGCTTTGGGAGGAAAGGCATCAATGCCTGCAGTGTACTCTGTACAGCTGACAGAGGGCCTTCCAGGGTTACAAAGCTCTCTAGTACTGGGGTGCTCACACCCAGGCTTGTGACTCGGGCCTCTCCCAACTACTTTTGACCTCTGCTATTCTGAGCATCATGGGGGTGCCTTCTCCTCTCTTTCTAAGTCTGACTCTGCGTTCTAGCATCTCTTCTTTATACATGACATCACTAATTACATGGTCTGACTACATCATTCAAATTAGTATCTTATTTGTAGAAACTACGGGCCCATAGTGGGGATTTCCATTTGAAATTGTTTTAACCATTTCTTTCCAACTCCAGGAGTGAATCAAATGGCAAAGATTCATATGTGTTTTTGCAAGTGTGGCTTGAGCCCTCCTGTTCTAGGTCAAAGATTCAGAGTGACCAAGGGCAGTACTGCAACCACCTACTGACTGATGACCTTTCTGCTCTCAGAGAACAGCCAGCTGAACTTTCAAAGTTCAAAGCCTTCCACACTGTAGATTGGGAAACACATTAAAAATTTGAGGACCAGGCTGGAGAGCTGGCTCAAAGGTTAAGAGCACCGACTGCTCTTCCAGAGGTCCCGAGTTCAATTCCCAGCAACCACATGGTGGCTCACAACCACCTATAATGAGATCTGGTGCCTGTGCCATACATGCAGACAGAACATTGTATACATAATAAAGAAATCTTTTAATAAAAAAATAAGGACCTCAATTAAGAGCAAGAGGGACAGGTGATTAGAAGATATAACTAGTGCTCTTAAAGAGAGAGATGGGGGCAAGTTATCCTGCACTGCAGAAGTCATTGAGAAGCTTGGAGGGACTGTCACAGCCCAGGTACCTTTCTAGGTGTGACTGTCATCATACTTTCAAGGTGCTATCAAGAGCCTATTTATGGACGAAGCTCATCATTTCCCACAGTCAGATCCACATTGAGGCGAAGTTCACACCAGCTCTCTGATTCCACATCCACACTCTCTCCTCTAGACCTTAGGAGGGTGAGCAGACACAAGATGGAGCAATGGTGTTTCTGATAAGGCATGGCACCGAGGAAGGAACAACTGGTCCAAGAGCTGCAGGAAGGCACCATCTACACCTTCTGTGTGTCACCATCAGAGTCACTCACTAGAGAGATGCTATTCAGAGTCACTGACAAGATTACATTCCTATCCAACTTGGGTTGAAAATGCGGTATCTTTTATAAGGCACATGACAGGAAATATAACTTTACTGCAGCTCCATGCTCTCACCTACAATCATCTATCAATAAAATAAAGCAAGCAAAGCAAGGAGAACAGTTGGCACAAGCCTAGCCTATAGGACACTCACAGTGAACATTTACCACTCTTGTCAAATGGAAGCTGTGCTCGGAAGCTCTGCTTGGAGCAAGTACACTTTAATGTGAAAGATTAGAGGTAAAGGAAGAGCCAAGGCATAACCAGGAAGGAAGAGGCTTCTCTGTGTGGGGTAGGAAGAAAGACTGGAGGCATAGTCATCACTGCTGGACAAGATGTCCACGAAAGATTGAAGGGCTAGAGGAGATGTGTAAAGTAAGATGAGTAAAAGAAAACGAGTAAAGAGAGAGTTAGTGGCAGACACTAAATAGCATGCATGGCACAGACAGTCTTGCTCAAGTATTTGCTGAGAGTGGATGGGAGATTTATGGTATGGGAAGGTTACAAGATATTGGACACCTTAAGAAGATTGGAGGATGCAATGTATACTTCTAGAAGGACAGAGAAAAACAAACAAACAAACAAACAAACAAACAAACCCTTTGCAATCTACTCCATAAAAGCAGAGGAAATATCATCACAAAGATTCTAGATTATTTTTTCCAGAACTCTAGACATTAACCAGGGCTTGAGAAAAACAAATCCCACCTCCCAAGCTCAGCTGCATCTTGGTAAGGACAGCAGATTTTGTGGTCTTCTAACTGGTTAAAACCACCACGGAAGAAAGAAAACAACCCCCATAAGCTCACAGAGACTGGCACTATTAGGAGGTGTGGCCTTGCTAGGGTAGGTGTGGCCTTGTTGGAGGAAGTGTGTCTCAGTCTTCATTTCCCTCTGCCTGACAATCTGGATGAAGAACTGTCAGCCCCCTCTCCAGCACCATGTCTGCCTGCATGCTGCCATGCTCCCCACCACAAGGATAATAGACTAAACCTCTGAACTGTAAGCCAGCCCAATTAAATGTTTTCTTTTATAAAAGTTGCCTTGGTCATGCCATCCCTTCACAGCAATAAGACCCGAACTAAGACACCCTCCCTTCACCCTAGGTCTTCACAGCTTTGCAAACCAGAAGCAACTGTGGAACTTGTGACAATGGGCTATCTGGCAGGGGTTGAGAGGGGCCAGACCTCCTGAAAACCACAGCCCCAAGAGAATCATCACCGTTGCCTCGGTCTGGCAGCTCCTTCACCTGCTCTACCTCCAGGGCTGTCCTCTTGGATGAGCCACTCTGTCTCCAAGATATTTGGGGAAAAGGAGTTGCTTGGCATCTCTGCCGCTGAGGCGGCAATATCTGCTCGGCCTAGTAAGAGTCTGATCAATAAAACTTAAAGGGAAAAACCGTGGCTATGAAACTCCAACATATCCCCAGGGTCCTAGAAGGTCCCATGCAGGTCCAGGGCTGTGCGTATGCTCAAGGAAGAACCGAGAAGGCCCTGTGTCCACCTCTGGTTGACCTGGAGGATCTGTGCCAGCAGAAAATAATGGCTAAGTTAATTTGTAAAGTGTCAGCAGTAGAGCTGAAGATTTGCTCAAGCACATGCAGAACCCACAGAAGACACACTGGTTCAAGGCATTTCCTTAAATTATTCCTATCCAGCTGTTAACCCACTCACCAAGATGGCCAAGTGGAGACTTCGTAGGACGTGTGATAAGCAATCTGGTGTTACTGATGTTCCCCAAAGGCCCACGCATTGAGTCCTTAACCTTTTGGGAGATGACAGACCTTTTAGGGGGGTCCTAGTGGGAGACAGTTAGGTCACTGGGAGGTGTCCTCTTGGGGGCTACTGAAACTCCAGCCCTTCACCTCTTGATTGCCAAGAGCTGGGGAGCCTCCTCCATCACACACTCCCTAGCTGCCTCACCAGAGGACCAAAAGCAGTGTAGCCAGCTGACCGTGGACCGAAACCTCAAACTGTGGGCCAAAATAAACCTTTCCTCCTTTCGGACAATTATTCAGTCACAAGGACAGAAAGCTAACTCATTCAGACGTCACAGGATAGGAGAAAATTATTAAAAATCATGTGTTTGATAAAGGACTTATATCCCAAATATATAAAGAACTCTTAAAACTCTACAACAACAACAAAATGACCCAATTAAAAAATGGGCAAACTTTTTTCACTAGATATCTCTGCAAAGAAAATACATAAATGTCTAAAACAAACAAACAAACAAACAAACAAACAACACATGAAATTAAACTCAATGTTAGCCATCAGGGAAATGCCGGTCAAAAATCCCGGTGAGATAACTGTAGATGAGTCAAGTATGGAAGGTAAGATGTGTTGGTAAGTATGTGGGGAAAGTGGAATGCTTGGATACTGCAGGTGGAACAAAATGGTGATCACCACTGTAGGAGGGTCGTCAAAGGCGAACACAGCACTATCACATGACTCAAAATTTCCATAGGCATGGAAAGGCATCTCACACCATGCTCACAGTAAGCCTCGCTTTTAGAAGAGCTACAGGCAGCCAATGGCTGCTGAGGGAGGGAGAATCAGTTTTCCTCAGGGATGAAAGCCCCTGAGAGATTTTTACAATCCCAAGTGGCCAGCCCTAAACTCATGTGCCTACAGGTGATACTAAGTGAAGTAAGTGTGTGTGGGTGTGTGTGTGTGTGTGTGTGGCAATAATAATTACAGAATAGTATGCCATGATTCAAGGAGTGATAGGATACATGGGAGGAATTGGAGCTTGAGGGGGAAGAGTGTAAATACGCAATGCAGCGTATCTATACATGAAGTTTTTAAAAATTAAAATAAAAAAAAAAGTCTAAAGAGCAGAAATACTCCAAATATTCACCCACTCATAACTGAACAAACACACAAGCTGATGCAGACAGTGGAAAAGGTGGATACAGTGCTGGCACAAGCTCCACAAAGATGAAACATTCTTCTAAGAGAAAGAAGCCATTCACAAAAGACCACACATTCTATGATCCCATTGATACAAAATGTTCAGAATAGGAAAGTTCATAGAGACGGAAAATAAATAGTGGTTACTGGGGCTGGGCCGTGGGAACAGCAATAGCTGATGATGGGGAGGATTTTGGAGTGATGGTCTAAATTTAGATTGTGGTGATGGTCATACAAGTGTGTGAATGTGTTAAAAAAAAAAAACCCAGCGAATTGCTAACTTTAAAAGATGACTTTTATGTTATATGAATTGTGTCTCAAAATTGCCTACCGTACAAACAAACAACAATAGCAACAAAGCAATAGGAGTTAGTGAGAGGCAAATTACCTCAAGATGTGAATAAGAAAAAAGAATAAGATTTAGATAGAGTCACAGCAGATAAAGCCATAGAAGAATCTAGGCTCTCCAGACATCTCATTTACCTAGGGTAGACCTGAAGACACACATCTGGCCCCTAACAAGGCATGGAGCCTGTACCAGCTGATGAAGCAGGAGTGCCTGGGCCTGCCGGCCCTGCCCACAGCTGCTCCATCTCCAGTACAGTAAACTCCCAGTAAAGAGGCCAGCAAAGGGACTGGAGAGATGGCTCCACAGTTCAGAACACTCGATTCCCCTCCCTGAGGACCCAGGTTCAGCCCCCAGCACCTATGACAGGTGGCTCACGACTGCACGTAACTGCAGCTCCAGAGGATCTGGCCACCCTCTTCTCTTGCACTGTATCCTGTGGAGATTTTCGGATAGAGCCACAAGCAGGAAGAGTAATGTACTGAGTCTCTGCGTAGCTATCGCTCACCTCCACTTCCATATACTAATGTTGTTTTATTGATATTCCTGTCCATGCTGCCCAAATGTGAAATACTTTTAGGGGAAAAGAAGTCATATAAATATCACACAATAAGTTAAAAAGAAACCACAAAAACATCATCACAGCCTTCACTGTGTGTCTAATATCTTGTCAACGTCTACATTTTTTTCTGACGGCTCACAAAAACCTTTTAAAATTGTCTCAGAATTGTACAAAGTCCACAATCAATCAACACTGATATTATTTACAACTTTTAATCTAATTCTTTTTGTTTATTTTGATTTATTGCCCCCAAGGCAGGGTTTCTCTGTGTAGCCATGGCTGTCCTGGACTCACTTTGTAGACCAGCCTGGCCTTGAGCTCACAGAGATTCACCTGCTTATTCCTTGTCTCTTTCTCTCTCTCTTCTACTTCCCTTGTAATTCACGTATTAAAATGGCACTGCAAAGGTTGTTGGCCCTGCAAACTTCATGTGTTCTACTACTGTGTTCTCATTTAATAGGTTTACCAATGGTCTGATATGGACCAAGGGCCCACAATAGTGCCTTTATACATTTACAATGGGAATTTTTTAATTTAAATTTATTGTTTGTGTGTATGGTTGTGTGAATGTGTCTGCATGTACAATGCACATGCCAAAGCAAGGATGTGGAGGTCAAAGGACAACTGGTGGGAGTTGCTTTTCTCCTCCCACAATGTGTATCTTGGGGTCTAAACTCAGGTCATCAGGTGTAGCAATAAGTTCCTTTGCCCACAGAGTCCTCTCCACTAGCCCAAGGGAAAAAGTTTATAGAGAAAATGGAAACAGAGACTGACTGACTGACTGACTTCCTTCCTCCCTCTTCTTTTGTTCTGATGCTAGAGATCAAACTCAGGACCTCACGCGAGCTAGGCAAGCACTCTGCCACTGAGCTGTATGTCCAGTTTACCATAGCTTCTCTACAACAGTGGAAAAATGATGACAACGGTTAGCAAGATGAGAAGATGCCAAAATTATCCACGTCCACACCCACACTATTATACGGCTACTAAAAAGCATGCCTTCAAAAATATTAAATAATTCAGAAAGATGCTTATGTTACGTGAGTGAGTTAGGACCAAAAGCAGCGTTCAAACAAGTGCAATGCTGATTTTGTCTAAAAGACATTAAGATATTTACTTTGGAGCCAGAAGATTATATACGGTTTTAGGTCCTGCACAACGAACACACAATTGCTTCTATAAACAGATACTGAACGAGCATAAAAGGCGTGGCACCCCACCTTCTCATATTTCTTCAAGCCTGTATATATTTAGTGAATGCTCATTCTCTATGGTTACAGCTGAGTGTGGTACTACTCGGACAGCTGAGAAACAAAAAAACAAAAAAAAAAAAAATGAGGCTCTGAGCTGGTCTTGGAGAGACTGGGGCATGTCTGATTTTGAGGTGATTCTGTAATAAATATCTGATTAAGAACCAGGGGTCCCAGGACTCAGAGGGGAATAGGCAAGTGGATCTTGGTGAGTTCAAGGCCAGCCTGGTCTACAAAGTGAGTTCAGGACAGCCAAGGCTACCTAGAGAAACCATGTCTTGGGGGTGAGGTGGGGGGACCAAAACCAACCAAACAAAAAGAATTAGGGAGTAGGAGCACTGACTTTCCCTTGGCCTGACTGGGGTGTGGAGCGGTGGGGCCTGAACTGCTACCACACCGAGAATCCACCTAGGGGCATGTACTCACGTTCCACCAGGAGGGTCCAACTGCAGGACACCTGCCCACGTCTGTTGGATGCTGTGCAGCTGTATCTCCCACTGTCCCTCATCCGGGCTCTCGGCAGGCACAGGGAATGGGATGCCCCATCTTCATAAATCTCAGTGATGCCTTCTCGTCCCCTCACAGGGATGCCTTCCAGGAACCAGGCCACTTCAGGCTTTGGCATCCCTGAAACTACAGGGCAGTGGGAGGAACATGAGAGTGCAGGGATGGTGGGGCGGGAAGACACTGACCAGGAGGAAAGAACTCAGGCTGGCTGGAGCTGATTCCCTACTTCCAAGCCTGCCTCTTGTTGTATCCTGCACTCAGAGAGTAGATGTCCCATGAGAGTCAGGGTCCTGAGGTAGGGGAGAGCAAGGGTGATGAGACAGTTCTCCGGGTGAGACAGGAACAGGAAGAGGACAGAGAAGGCAGCTGTAGTGTGTTTGTGGTGATGACGATACCAAGGGGCATGTTAGAGGAGAGGACCAATGCTCTACTTCATAAAGAGCAATGGGTGAGCCCTGGATGTCTCTCCAGAAAATGAAGGCATTAGAGACTGAGCATTTCCTAAAGAGACAGCACTGGAAGGTAGCTTCCTAGGGGACCAAGTTTAGGGGGTATATAATACAGGAGGTGCAGACTGGTGTGTGCTGAAGGAAAGGAATGGGCATGAAGGAACCAGCCCTTTAATCATCTCTACTCACCCTCACAAATGAACTTGACTGTTTGATCTTCAGTGACTTTTTGGCTTTGGGGCTGACTCTCAAATTTGGGGAATGCTGACTCCCTTTGGGTCTCTATAGGGATGTGTCTGGTAACAAACTTGTTCCTCATTGAGCCTCCCAGGCCACACTGTCTGGTAGGGAGCGTGGTTTGCTGAGGAGCAGCCAGACTCTTCCTCTCTTCTCCAGAAGGAGAGAAGGCCCGTAAGCCTGGCGCTCTCCCATCTGGCTGGACTTTTGCAGCCTGCAGGGTGATGGAACTGGAGGTCTTCTGCAGCACTGAGGCCTGCGGGATCTTTCTGGAAGAATCCTCACACAGCTTCAGCTTGGGCTCCTGCAAGGACTTAAGGTGGCTGTTGGTGGCCCAGGCTGTGGAGCCACTCCTCTGGGGGCTCGGGCAGTTCTTGCTTTCAGCCACAATCTCTGGGTCTTTGGCTATTCCATTGGTCACCTCCTTCCCCATGTCTGGACTGGGTGCCTTGGTTCCTCTCACAGACGACCTGCATGGCAATGAGGGTCAGGAGGGGAGGGGAAACAGAGACAAGAGTGGCCATCTGGTTACCTTGTAAACATTACTTTCCACAGTACAGATTTCAAATATTGCAAAGCCCACAGACGAAGGTTAATAGCAAAGTATTGCAGCTCGCTCTGTGTCCCAAGCCAGGGTCCAGGGGACACTTGACCCTTCCTGTCCTTTGTTTCCTTCCCACAGCCCTGAGTATTGATGCCTCTCTTCTCTGGGGGGCTCTGGAGTTCAAACCAACCATAGGCTTCCCTTGCTTGCAAAGCTCTTCTCTAATCCAATTCTAAATATCCACTGCGGCCAACCTCTTAAAGGCATAAATTGAGTTATCTCACTTGAAGCTCCAGCAGTTTTCAGCTTTCCACTCTATTAAGAATAAAGGCAAGCATCACAATGGCTCAGAGCCTTAGCTGCCTCTTGCCACAGAAGCCACTGACCTGTAGCCCACCAGGCTACTATGGTCATGTGGGGGTTATCTGGGACCCACAGCTCTTCTCTCAGCACTGTTCCTTCTGTCTGGAATATGTTTTCCTGAGCTTTCTTTCACCCGCTAACGTTAAACTTCTCAGGTCTGAGTTCAAACGTAGAGTTTTCAGAAAGGGCATTCTCTCTCTCTCTTTTTTTAAATTTTTAATAATTGTTATATTTTAAATATTATTATGTTAGACAATTTCAGACTTTGGAAATTTTTCAAAAAAGTTAATAAAACCTTTCTTCTCATGCAACTTTATTCAGATTTTTAGGTTATTGATAGCTGTTGTCTTGGTCTGTGGCATCTTTTTAATTAATATATATATATATATTTTTACAATTTATTCATTTTATATCCTGATTGTAGCTCCCTTCCTCATTTCTTTCTGGTCACTCCCTCCCTCCCTCTTTCTTCCTATCTTCTTCCCCTAGTCCACTGAAAGGGGGAGTTCTCCTCCCCTGCTATCTGATCCTAGCTTATCAAGTCTCATCAGGACTGCCTGGATTCTCTTCCTCTGGTGGCCTGGCAAGGCCACATCGACAGAGAGAAGTGATTAACCAAGGACCATGCATGAAGATGACTTAGACCCCCTGCTCAGATGTAGCTGATAGGCAGCCCAGTCTCCGTGTGGGTTCCCGAGAAGGGGAAGCAGGGGCTGCCTCTGTTGTGAACTCGATTGTCTGCTCTTGGATCAGAAAGGGCAGTCTCAACTCAGTAACTGAAATTAGTGTCTCTGTCATGACTCCTCCCAGAGATCACACTTGTAATTTCATAGGTGAGGCAGTTTAAAGCCCTTCTGTGCAGTAAGCGGTCAGCTTTCCCCTGTCCCAACATCCACCCTGTGCCTCACATCTGAAAGGAAGGAAGCAATCGTGAACATAGGTCAGAGGAATGAGAGGATTCTGGCCTGAAATGGTAGTAAAGTCATCCTTAGTGTGGTCTGAATTGGAAGGCACTGAGAGAATACTGAGGAAGTTGGCAGCACTGAGTGCTCCAAGAATTTTCATACTGATGACATCACTGATTAAACCAGATAGCAAATTACCACAGTAGAACAAAGCAAAGCACCCCAAATAAAGCGATGCCCCAAGCCCATCCTCACTTCCTACACGCCTTGAAAATTCAGGACATTTTTGCTGCTATTGTTCTCTGCAGAGTATTTCAAGATGGAAAACATAACAATTATGAAGAAAGACATACCTAGTGGCCTTGTCCAAACCTGGAAGAGGGGCAAAAAGACAGTGGATTATTTTATATGCCAAGCAGAGACAACTTTTCTCCCTATTTCAGAGCTTTCAAGCTTGGGGCTTTGGGTAGGCTAAGAAATCTTCCCCACACATCCCTGCTTGGGCTTTCTACCAGCAGCTGGGGCCTGAGGGCATACACTCTGCTCCCCTTCACCCAGCAGAAGGAAGCATAACCAACAGAGGGACAAGTCAGCAGAGACACAAATCAACAGATGGACAAATTAAGGAACAAGCCCTCCAATGAAAGTGTCAAACCCCAGTACTTTCAGTTACCTTTAACCTTCAAACTCCCCTCCTCCCACAAAAAGTCCATTTGTATCGATTAGTGCTTTAAAAACAAAGGAAGTGACATTTTATTCCTCTCCAAGAAGTATTCAATATATTCCTTTCTTATGTGTCTGTTGCTTTTTAAATTTTATCATGGGAAAGTCCAAGATATATACTAGTAGAAAAATGAACATTACAAGACCAGAAAGCCACCAGTATGATGAGGAAAGAGCATTTGCCAGTCCCATCTGTTTCTTTTTTCCTTATTCTGTTTGATTTGAGTAGTTTTTTAAAAAAGTCCCATCCCCCTGGCAATGTGGCCTTGTCAGGCCACCAGAGGAAGAGAATCCAGGCAGTCCTGGTGAGACTTGATAAGCTAGGATCAGATAGCAGGGGAGGAGAATTCCCCCTTTCAGTGGACTAGGGGAAGAAGATAGGAAGAAAGAGGGAGGGAGGGTGGGACCAGAAAGAAATGAGGAAGGGAGCTACAATCAGGATATAAAATAAATAAATTGTAAAAAAAAAAAAAAAATTAAAAAAAAGATGCCACAGACCAAGACAACAGCTATCAATAACCTAAAAATCTGAATAAAGTTGCATGAGAAGAAAGGTTTTATTAATTTTTTTGAAAAATTTCCAGAGTTCCAGCAGTGCATTTTGTCATTAAATGCACTAAGAGGGAGTGGTTTTTAAATGCAAGGTTATGCAGAATAAAGGAAGAGTGGCTCAGCCTTGCTGTAGAGGCCCGACAGTTTCTGACCCACAAGGAGTGGCCAAGTCACATTCTTTGATCAGGACTGGGGTTTCTTGTTTTAACTGTACCTGGTAGAACAGAAAATACCAGTGGGCACAGTACATGGAATGTGTCAGAATGGCTCCACCAAACTTGTTTCAATTAAATATGTTTACAAGCATGAGTTTCTTTCTGTGGACTGCAGAAACACTTAAATAAAAATAAAGAGATGATAGATAGATAGATAGATAGATAGATAGATAGATAGATAGATAGAT